GTCAGGGCTTACCCAGGTGTTGCGATTTTGGCCTCCATATATGAGTTACCAAATCTTTTTAGATTACGAGATACGGCAATTTTCGAGATTTTTGAAAAGTTTCCAAAAAAATTAACTTGAAAAAACTTCACAAACTATGAAATTCTCAACCCTGTAGTTGGTGCTGTCAGGGTACTCTCAGGGGTTGCGAATCTTGACTCTGAAACTCACTTCTCAAATCCTTGTAGTTTTCGAGATATGACGTTTTTTTATGATTTTTCGAAAATTTTTTGAAGTGTTCAACCCTGTTTTTGGAAACTGTGAGGGTACTCTCAGGGCTCGCGACTCTTGCGTCTGAATATGACTGCTCAAATCTTTGTAGTTTTGGAGATATGACGGTTTTCAAGATTTTTCTAAGTTTTACCAAGAACTTAGATGTAGAAAAATTCACAAAATTTGAAGTTCTCATCTCTACAGTGAGACTCTGTCACGGTACTACCAGGAGTTGAGATTTCCTCCAATTGTGACTGCTCAAATCCTTGTACTTATCGAGATATGACGTTTTTTGTGAGTTTTTCAAAAAATTTTCAGAACACTTGAAATTTAGTTTTTTTTTCCAAAATTTGATATTCCCATTTCTGTAATGGGGGCTGTCAGAGTACTCTCAGGGGTTGCGAATCGTGCACCCAAATATGAGTGCTCAATTTTTTGTAGTTTTCGGGATATGGCAATTTCCGTGGATTTTTCAAAAATAAAATTAGAAAACTTCAATTTGAATTTTCTCAAAGTTTGAAGTTCCCCCGACCCTGGGTTTTGTCAGAGTACACTCAAAGGATGCAAATTTGATTTCCAATGGATGCCGTTTTTATGAGTTGTCATAAATTCGAAGCACCGGAGGTGCGTTACCTGCTAGTTTAAATTAAAATTGATAGTCGAGTTCATCGTTTTTCGAAGCCATTCTGAGCTGCTGTCTGCTGATTTTTGTTCCTCCAGTTTCGCGTAGTTTCATTGTTTTAGGACTGTAAAAACTGAAACCAAGCAAGCTTGAAGTGCTATCAAAACAGAAAGTATTAGAATCACAAGTTTCAATAAATTTGTTCAGAATTGCCAGACGAATTTATCGTTTCTTTTTTCGTTCGCTAGTTAAGAAAATTTTTCAATTTTTTTTCTCACGTTTAGATCATTTCGATCTATTTTCGGGTTGCGTTTTTCTATAGAAAGTTCAATGAAATATCTTTTAGTCAAATATATTTAGTCAAAATTTCTGATTGATTTTTCGATAAACCATTTTTTCTGTCAATTTGTTCTTACCTGATTGGTTTTTTTAATTGAAAATTGGCGTTTTTAGTTTCCTAGCTTTTCAAAAGCAATTGATTTTTCGTAAACAGTGTCTCGTTCAATTTCCTATTTTTTTTTGTTTCATTCATTCATTTCATCAGTTTTTTGCTGAACTCTAGTTGAACTCGAGTTTTGGAATGCTTTTCAAAAGTTTTTGCACATTTTTTTATTGTCACTAGTGTTTTTTTAAAGTCGTTTTCAGTTTTTTCAGATCACATTTGTTGTGTTTCTAATCTGTCTAGTTTGTTTAGGCTTCTGAAAAGTTGAATACTATTGTTCAGTATGTATATGTCTTTCATTTACATATTTAAAAAGTAAACCCGAGTTTGTGGATTTTGGTTCTTTCATCAATGCAGTTTACTAATAGTTCGATTGCGTGTCTTCCAGGCAGATTTAAAAATTAATTTGGAGATTGGCTGATTTTGTTGCTTGTATAATTTAAAAAAAATGTTTAGCAACAATTTTGCAATCTGATTTATGACTTTTTTCTTGACTTACAGCTTGTGCATCACAAGTGGTGCGAAGCTCTGCTTCGCCTCTGTGTAAGAATTTTGCGTGTGCGATGGCAAGGTTCTGATTTGTCATGGGTGTAAAGTTAAGGTGTCTAATTGTGCAGATAAGGGTGTTTGAATAGTTTTCTGTTTTAAAACAGTTTTCTTCTATCATGTTTGGTCATTTTTTGTCGCCGTGTTTCCTCGCAAAATTAGCTAGCACAAAAATTTGTTAGACAGTTGAGTGATATTTCATATTAAAGCCCATTCAAATGTAATTTGAACAACCTTGAAAAATTTCGCTGTGCAGAAAAACCGGTTTGAAGTTTTCGTCTTTATTTGAGCGAATAAAGCGAGCGGGCAGGCTTAATAGCTCGTTTTAAGTTTTTTGGACACTTTATTTTCTTTTTAAGCTCAATTGAGTTCCCTTTTTGAATAATTTCAACCTTCTGTTTGGTTTTTTATGGATCAGCCATGTCAATTAGAAAAATTTTTTGAGGTGATATATTCCAATACGTGGCAGTTTACTTCCTGATCTATACGAAACAAAAACGTGTCTAGCGGAAATCGAACTGTAGCTTGTATCTTGGGCCGATTTGTTTGCCAGTGGAACGCCCGTCTGCGTCATGCGAAAAAAGCAAGAATATATATAATAAAGAAGGATAGCCGGTTACTGGGCAAGTAGCACAGAAGGTTCCGACCATAGTCTTAAAAGAAAACATAAAAGTTTCAAATTAATGTTGTTTTTTGACGTGTTGTGATAAAAGCGTCTGAATGAAAAAGTAGAGATTAGGCATATTCGGCAGTCATAGTAAACTAAGCAAATTGGAAAACAATGTTCGAAGAAAAATTTTTGGAAAAACAAAAAAAGTTTTTTCAAAATTTTTGGCTGTTTTTTTAATTATTGAAGCTGCTGATTCCAAGCAAGCGCTAAAATACTCAGAGAACTAACTTTACTCGAGTAAATCTAAGTTTTTGCCTTTTAAATTAGGCTATTTTGAGCTTTTAAGCCATTAAAATAAGCGAGTGTACGCCTGCTCGCTCCTTTAATTCCTCGAATTAAGAGGAAAAGTCAAAAGTTTGAAACCGGTTTTCTCGGGCTTGATTATGATATATCCGTCAACTCTCTCTGATGACTATTTGCGGTAGCTGATTTTGCGTGAAAAACAAGAAAAAATCTAAACCTTAGAAAACTCTTTTTTTTTAAATGTGTTTGCAAACAGAATCGATGTGTTCATTGAAATATAACGTTATATCAAATTTTATGCCAAGATACTAATAATTAGCAACTATGTTATCTGTTACTTGAAGCGTGTTTTCATTTGCCCGAAGTTAAATTTCTACACTTTGAACCGTGTTGTGTTAGTTCCTTTGATAAAAAACCATTTTAAAAATTTCTTTTTCCAAAATTCGCTGAATTTTACTTTTTGCTCAATTTCACGATTTATTTTCAAAATATTATGAAGACTAAAAAAAATTGGCTCTAATGTTTTTATCTGTCCAGCTCTAATTTTATATTATTATCACAACTGTAGAGCATATTCCGTATGATAGAAGTTGTTGTCTATCCGCTCAACCGATGTTTTGCCGCTGAAATTCATAAAACATCTAATTGGATGAGGCAAAACAGTCTGACAGTAAATTCCGATAAATGTTTATTTATGAACTTTGGTAAGACCTCAACATCAAGGTTGCATATTTCATCTTTCAGGGCAAGTGCTAAAAACTGTTGATCGTTCCAAATATTTAGAAATTGAAATTGACAAGAAAATTTGGCTACAAATGTCATATTGAAAAAATAACCAAAAAACTTTCGCAGGTCTGTGGGGTCGTTTATAAATCTAGAAAATTTATATTATGGAATTCAAAATCCAGTCAAAATTAAGTTATGGAATTTTATTGTACGGAGGTACGTATAAAACGTATTTAAATGAAGTTTTGGATGTTCAAAAACGAATCATTAGAGCAATTTTTTTAAACCACTTTCTGAGTCACTCGTCGACATTATGGAGAACCACGAGTTCTTCACTGTTTTCGATATTTTTCTCTGTGAATTATTCAAACTGCTTTTCCATGAGCTTCGTGGCCGCTCTCAACATAAGTTTCCTAATCTAGAACAACTTCACAGTAGACGACAAACAAGAAATACTACAAAATACATATTATCTTCTGAATACTGTAGAACCTTTGAAAAACGGAAATCAATTGAACATCAGCTGTTTTCAGCTTATAATTGACTGACCAAAAATAATTTATGACCTAAAGACTTGTTAGAAATGAGTGATAATCATTTCTCAATTTTTTTCAAACGTTTTTCAAGGTTGTACCTACGTAATAATTTGCAACTTTTTTCAACTTTCTTTAATTACTAAGTTCATGTCCCTCACAACTGCTCTCTCAGCATTACCCAGGGTCATTGCTCGTTGAGTTGAAATACTCTTCAATGCCCCTCCAGGCAATTAATAGTTATTAAGATTATATAACTTTTCACTGCAGCTGGTAAATGAATTTAAAAAAACCGTCATCGTGCTGAGGTTCATACCTTTTCCCAGAGCTGACTTTTGTATAGGTTTACTCTGTGCTTAAAGACTAGAAGTTTTTTACCTATAGAGTTAAACAGAAATTCAGCGCAATAGGTGATTAATTTTGTGACTGCTTTTCTTAGCGCATCTAAATGTGAGTGGTTAATGTTTTTAGCCATTAATAATTACTTAAGGATGTTCGAATTTCGTGCTCCTATCCCTCAAACGACAAAAATTTGTTTTTAAATTAGCAACTTTGGACGGAACAGCTTCGTCAATTTTTCAGCATGCGGCTCTTCTTAATGTTTTCGTTTTGAGAATCAGATGAATATCCAATTCATTTTTCCAAAAACATTTTTATCAATTTTTGTTCAAATTTGCCTCAAATCAGCTCAGCTGTGACCCTTTAATTCGAAAGTAGATGTAAAATAACACCAGATGCGGACAAGTGAGATTATATGTGAGGTTATTTGAGAACGTCTAGGGAAAATAGACCTTTTATATCTGGTGGTAAAGTGATGCTTATTATAGTGATGCGATCCTTCTCATATCTTAGAAGTTTCGCGTCATTTCAGCTAAATATAGATATGGTGCCGAGGTTGGCTTAGTTTCACGAGAATTTAATGCTCCGTCTTTCATAACTCTTATGTAAATAGTAAGTAGCTCAGAGTCGAACATAGTTTGATCCCATCGTCGTCATATTCTAGTTGATGTTAAAGTTATAACTATATGTGCATAGTTGGTTATAGTTAGTTGCAGCAAGCGGTGTGTTTTATAAAAGACTCTGTAATAGGCTCTGTTAGTTCATACACATTATCGGCATTATCTAGTCTCGTTTTTCACTCTCTGAAATCTTTTATTTGAGGCTTTGATATTTGAAGTTCCATTCAAACCATAATTGTTCCGCCTGTACTCCGACGGCGACGCAGTTTCAAACAAAATCTGAGAACTTCATTACCAGATAAAAAGAGTCTTTCACCTTTTTAATTTCCGTCACAATAATTTTTGAGTTGAGCTCTTGTTAAGTTAGAAGCAAATATTTCACGCTTTTTATAGTGCTTCAAAATTGCGTGTTACTCTCAAAGCATTTCATATACCATATTGTGCTTGAATTTTGAACAAGAATTTCATCAATTTTAAGTTCATTTAAGATATTTCTCTTAGCATTTTAGTTAAATTGTTGCTTTTGATTGGACTCCTTGTTTTTATTTCGGCGCATTATCTACTAATTGTGTTTACAAACACGTGGTGGAATTAGTTTGCGAACACTATTATCGTGCCATCTTTTGTCGGGATTAACATCTAACAATCTAATTTTTAACGAGAAAAATCTGATTTGCAGTTTATATTATGCCAGTTGGATCTGGATACAGCAAGCACAGCAGTTCCTATGTAGGCCCGAAGAGAGATTGCCACTCGTTAACTGACTCCTTTTCCGCCAGCAGCAAAGCTGTCGGCAGCGGCGGACCCAATGGTGCTAACTCTTCATCTTCAAGCAGCTCATCTGGAAGACAGGTGTTCTCTCTGATCGCCAATCAAGACACACCCAGCATCAGCAACACTACACTAAATTCGCAGCAGGGCCAAATCTCTTCACAGCAGAAAAAAGCGACAAAAACGGTGCTTGTAGTGAAATGTACAGACTCGTCAATCAACGCTTTCAACCAGGTCATCGCCAACCAACGACAGAAAGGAGTGCCAGTGCCTTCAGTCTCCTTCAAGAAGGGAGGAGGAAGTCTGAATCTTCCGCTTCAGAATGCCGATGGCGGCTTCTCAATGAGGGGTCTCAACTTCAAGTTGAGCAAGTTGGACCAGGCAGCCGGACTCGAGTGTCTGCTCCAAAGATCTACACCTGGGAAAAACCAATGCAGTAACAGGTAAACTTTCAGTTTTTGATATACTTTTTTTTATTGACTGCCCTTATAAACCTCAAATCCATCTTATTGAAGTTCTCTGTAGTACTTTTGCAAAAAGCAAGGATGTTTCAACTGGGTACTAGATTTTTTCACGTAAAATACTTCTTTCACAGGATAACTGAAATTGGAGGTCTTCTCGGAATCTGTACTTCGTCAACTAACAAAAAATTTTGAGAAGGTCATGTTAAATGCCATTTCTATTTGAGAGGTTGGTTGGAAATTTGTAAGTCGGATTTCTGTATATCTGTTTTTTTTTTTTTTCGAATTTAATTTTTATTCGTTTCAACATGTGCCTGCTCAAAAATTGTCATCTTTGTTACCGCTTTGTAAGTTTCGTTTAGATGCTAATTTTAACGTTCAGTCTTACTTGGCATGTATTCGTTTGATAAAAACTTGATTCATGACAAAGTTAAGAACGAGTTTCGGTAGATCAACTTTCTCAAAATAATTTCCGAACATTTTTTGTGGCTTTCATCTTATAACTGTCGGTTAGTTTGTCATGCTATGTTTATCTTGTATCGAAAGTGGTGGTCTGAATTTTTATCGATTGATTTTGTTATAAGGGTACTGCTATATTTGAATTGAGCTTCCGAATAATTAATATGGTTACTGTTAATCCTAGTCTCAACATGTTTTAAAATGAGTGTTCGTGCTTTTTTCAGGATTCGAGGTGAAGTGAAAGACAAGCAGCTGACAAGCATAGGAGATATTACACAGACTGCACGCATAGAGGGCACAGACGAGATATTCCAGCAGACGAAGCAGAGGATGAGTCAAGTCGAACAGGACTACAAGAAAATTAGGTTAGAGAGGCATCCAATCATAAGCATAACAAAGTATCATCCTTATCTGTCTGAAAAAATTCAATGCGGACCTTTCAATTGGAGTAGCAGGGAGCACAAGCATGGAGTTTCTTTATCATTGTTTTACATAAGATAATAATTTTTATGATCTATTGGATCGTTTGTCATTAGCTGTAAGTTAGAATATATATTTTATAAACTATAGGAAGCAAATGAAGTCAATTGAACCGTCGTTTTTTAGTACAAAGACAATCGACAACTTTGGGAAGAACAAGCTAAGTGGAGTTACCAAGAAGAAATCTGCTCTGGATCTAAAACCCAATAGAATGCTGGTTGAAGCAGCGAGCTTGGCCAGTCGACCTTCAATGGCACCTAAACACACCATATCTAATTCTCACGATAGCAACAAGTTCGGACCAAGAAGCGAGGATTCGCTCCTATCAGTGCGGAACAAGAGCAGTTTTTCACACCAATCAACCGGATCCCGAAATAGTTCCGCAAATAGCAGTCCACAGAACCCTAGTTTTGCAAGCAGTACTTTCCAACCACCCGGACGTCAATCAATGATGCCGGAGTCCAGCAGCATTTTGAGCGAGGGAAGCGTGCCTGCAAAGGGACCAAATAATAGCTTGAATAATCATAGAATAATTAGTGGCAATACGAATACAAGGGACCTTAGTCTAGACCGGTCGCGTCATTCGATCTCGCCTCCAATTCCTAAGTTGGGAAGTGAGAGAGTGGCAGATGAGCCAAGGAGAACACTCTCGGAAGCTTCTCGGGTGTCGACAAATAGCAACAGCAACAGCAACAGTCCCAAGTCAGCAACCAGCGAAACCTCATCGCAATATTCGCTCAAGTATGTTTGTCCAGCGCAATCATTAGAGTTTTTAGCGAAGAATGATTATTACTGCGTTTTACCTTGAAACAATTTCCTGGTTCAATTACGAGGCAAATTTTCATTTATGTTTAATCAAGGCGCTTTAAAAAAATGTCACTGAAAAAAAATACAAAAAGAACATTTGGAAAAGATTAAAACAGTATATTATAATCAAGCGAAAGCTAATATTTGCATTAACCAAAACACCGTCAAATTGAGAAGTCATTCAGGCTTAACTAACAATAAATTCAGCGCTGTTTGCCTTTGAGCTCTTCAGAATACGAAATTAAACAACACGCCATAAAGATAAGTTTCAAGGGGGTGGTTTTAAAAAGCAAATCAATCTCGATAGCTTCGAAAATCGATAAAAGAATAAGCCGTGTTATATGTGGAAACGGTTTGACATCTTTTTTTTTACCACTGACTTTGGAGATTATTAGTTAAGTTCAAAACTTTAACTGTTTCAATTTGGTGTGTTTTATTTTTTCACTTGCTGTGTTGCCCATTGGAGTGTGTTAACGTCGTAAAATTTGTAATTGAATTGAATGGCTAATGTAATTTTGTCGGGGGGGGGGGAGAAGATGAGAATATTAGGATGATGATGAGTGTAGAATGTAATGAAGGTATTTGAAATGTTGTAGGGACCACATTCTGCACCTGTTGGCGGTGGAAGATGGCATCACAGTTAGTAGTGTAGTGTTCCGTCTCAAGTCCCAATGCAAACTGAAGGGGGTGCAGCACAGCCACGTGCTCTCCCTCCTCAACCAGGTGGCCACAAATGAGAACAGGGCAGCCAATGTCTACAGTCTCAGAGGCAGTCCTGACTTGGTCCAGTTGGTAGCCTCCGAACAGATCAAGCCGCAGCAGTATCCCTTCTACACACAATCACAGCGCCACATACTAGCCAAGTGAGTCACAAGTCATAACTCATTTATATGTTATGTTCTCTCTGAAAAAGGCCAAAATGTTTCCTAAAGGTGAACAGCAACATATTTTATGCTTAGTGGTTCCTGTTTTGGCGGTGGTTAGATTAGAGCACAAACCAAATTTTGATGACACGTTTTTCGCCGACCACCAACCCATATATATTTTGATTCGAATTGATTTAGCAATGCACAACAACTATTCGTGTGCCTTCCGAATTTTTTTCTCGTTAGGTGACAATAAGTTGTTTAGCGACAGTTATTTACAGGCGACAATTGGGGAGTAAAAAAACCAGCCTATGCATAAACCAACCGAAAATGCGCGGAGTATATGAGCCAGCCGAAAAGTTACATCATATGAATGAATTTGCACAGGGGCGGATCTAGGATTTTCTCGAGGGGGGGGGGGGGCGAGTTTTCAAAAAAAGTTCGAAAATTTTGACGACTTTTTTTTTAGGTCGACCACCAAATTGATTTTTCGAGCTCTTCCAAAGCACTGCTTTGCCCCTATTTTGGCTAAATTAAAAAAAAAACAGTCAAAAAAGCCGTTTTTTTGGCACTTTTTGAAAAATGTTGACAAAAGAATCGCGTTTTTTTTGGCGCGCGCTCCCCCTCAAAGTTAGTATATATTGGCGCCCAAGGCGCCTTTAGAAAAATTTTAGGGTCGGTCGGCCAAAAATGGATTTCTGAAAAAGTATCAGTGGGGGGACCCTTTGGGTCGTCAAGGGGTCGAATCCCTGAGGGGGGGGGGGGGGGGGTGGGCGTCCCCCCCCCCTTAAATCCGCCCCTGAATTTGCATAACTTTTGTAACTTTTACAGAATTGTTACATAACTATTTTGTAACACTTACGTATTTTCGGCTTGTTGATATTTCGACTGGTTTATACTTCGGTTGGCTCATATACCACCGACAATTGATAGCATTACAAAAAACTACAATTCTTAACGCAGGAGTTTGTCCTATTAAACAGAAAGCTGACTGGAAATCAAAATTTGATTAGCAATACACGGCACATAACCAAGTGACCATGCCTCAGTGGGTCTGTGAGACGACATGGAATGTTTCAAGGAACTACTAAGCAGTAAATCCGATTTGATTTTCGAACGACATTGCGATTTGATCTCGGTGTCTCTAATTGCGACGAGTTGTCGCCAGACCCGCTTTTTCTAACTGTGGTGACACTCACTGGCGACAAATCGTCGTCATTTGGGAACGGTTTGCATCGTATTTTAACAAACAGACGTGATTGCCCGAGCATAAGTAAATTCAACTCATTGAGTTTTTCAAGTTTTCTCATGCCAGAAATCAATACTTCGATCAATTTCTTGTAGATGTCGGGTTTTAATTTTGCAAAAGGCTTTGTAATTTTTACGATAGCGTAGTATACATACTTGAGTTTTTTTCTGTATGTAAAAGAAAATTAATTTTCATCTTTTAGTGGCCAATTCCTTTTCAGTATTTGATGCATTTTACAATCTTGTTTCGTATGAATGTTTGACTGATCACTTTTCAGCAGAGCCGCTCTATTTATTTTATACGCCTACTTGCTCTAATTTTTACAGTATTTTTAAACCGCATGAAAAATCCAGGTCCTTTTTTTTACAATAATATAATAGTGACTAAAAGCTTTGTATATTGGGATGAATTTTTAATGCCCTCAACTAATAAGCGTTCAACTGAAAATAAAAACATGGGATAACTCATCCTTTTAAATTATTCAGACAGCAATAATTTTTCTTTTCTTTTTGAGAAATCATGCGTTGAAGAATAATAGTTTGATAATGAAAAACACTGGCTTTTTTGTTTATAAGTGACCGCTTGAAAAACTAATATATTTCCAATTTAACACTAAATTTTAAATGGAAAACAGAACCAGATAAAAACATTCATGGGCGGCTTATACTGGCTATCTCATTGGAGCTACTGTATAATTTTATAATCCATCCCTTGCCTTTCTAAAAATTGAGATGCAGGCTCTCGGCAGGTTATAGGTGCCTAACCAAAGGAAGAGGTTAAATAGTCGTTACCCCTGTAAAAAAAAATTGTACAGTAGTTGTAGTACCATGAGATTGGTACCATAACGTGGAATATTAAGCTGATCAATTTAATTTTGAAATGTGAGACAAAAGATGGTGATTTTTGCCAGTTTGCTTGCGCCACATGTGTACTAATTCAATTTTTTGAGCTGACAATTCAAACCAATTTGTAGACAGGATTACCATCTGTTTCTATACGGGAGCAAAGCATCCTCTGTTTGTTAGATCTTTTCTCTCGCAAACAACATATGTGTGCTAACTAAACCAACTCTGAGAATGGATCGAGGATATAAAAGGAAACCATTTATATCTGTGTTTTTATCTCATGTCAATACAAAACGGAGTACTTGGGAACAGAAACATAGCAAATGAATGCAGAGACGCTATAATTCTGAATCGGTCGATGTTGAACAAGTTTTTTAAGAGTCTGATGCGGTAATGCTTTTGCGCTAATGCCATTTGAACACTCAAAATAATGAAACCAAAATCTAGGTCAAATTGTGAAACTTGACGATAAGTGCATGGTAATTGCTCCAATTTTGCTAATGTGTTAAATAGGGCATCGTTCCTTATTTGGTAAGGGACATACTGAAAATAACTACGCTTAGCTAAATTAGTTTTTCAAGCCGTTTAAATCTTTTTCTAAATCTTGAGTTCAGATTTTCACTAAAAGGAACTACATGCATGCCGTACGAGTTAACTTATTGGAGCTCCTGCTCTGTAAGTGTTTTTAGGCTGTTAAAATGTAAGATCCTTTTATATGGAATTTTAAAAGTCTCCTGGGTTAGCATGTCAAGAAGTTGAAGAACTACTGACTCAATATGGATGAAAATCTGTTTGTCATTTCAGGAAATTGGACCGCCTTAATAATCTGGCCAGTCAGGACAATCATGTTCCGACGACCAGGTTCTCTTCGCCTTACGAGCCAGCAGACGACATCTCAGTCTCACCCGTCGCGCTCTCGGCTCCATCGACCTCGCCCTTCAACCCCTCCCACTCCAGAACCCAATCTCACTCGGAAGAACATCCGAACCCTAAACATAATCATCAACATCATCAACCACAGTCACTGTCGGCTTCGAGTCAGAGGTCGTCGGATACACTGTCTTCGTCCTCGGGGAATCTAAGACGCGAAGCCAAGCAGGAACATCAGAGGAGTTCTAAAAGTGAAGTTCCTGACTGTTTTAGGAACCTCATCGAAAATACTTCTACTCAAGTTAGTTTAAGGATTTAATTAGGGTTGCCAAAATTTAATGTGAAATTGCTTAAGCTAATTCTCCTACCAAATTAAAGAGATACTCAAACTTATAAATTTCTTCTGCGTTAACCTGGTTTTGGATGCCTGTAATTATTTAGCCTTTGAAATTGAGGCGACCATCTCGAAGATCTTAGTATTTTCAAGAATTTATGTTTGTTTGGTTTTGAATAGTTGCATTTGAGTTTGAACTTTACAAGTTATGTCGTTATTGATGTTATTTGAGCAGATTGATCTTTTATTGGGACAGTTATTGTTCCGACCATCGAAAATGGAGAGGAACTTTGTCTTTGTGTGCATTTTAGTCTTTGTTTTCCACGCAAAATCAGGTACCGCAAATAATAATCAGAGTGGGTCAAGTGATATTCAGTCTTAATAGGAACAACATTAAAAAAATTCAAAATCCTCCCAGAGCCGAGAAGGCTTATAATAGGATAAGGTTTTATTTAAACCTTGAAAACTAAGTTTCACTCCAGTCAAATTAGTTTTCGGAAGTTCTTTTAGCGCCTTCTTAGGAATAAATTTTAAAAAATAATTCTTCAAAAATTTTGATTTGTTTTATTTCTTATCTTTTTTTTTCAAACATCAAAAAAAAGTCTGGAAAATAAAATTTTTCTTAGTTTTTTTTTATTGATCGAGGAAAACTTGTCTAATATGCATCAATAGCTGTTTTTATTGAGCTTTTGATCAGATCCTCTCATCACATCAAGAGTAAAAAAAAATTAAACATTTTCAAGAATAAAAACTGTTGTACTTGAAATATTTTGATTTTTTTAGTCATTTTTCGAAGAAAAATGTTTCCCAATATGACTTTTTTAAATTATGATTATCGGAAATTACTGAATTTTAGTATATCGCTCAGATCCTTATATCGCACAATATGGTTGGAACATTCTGTGCTACCTGAACAGCAACCGGCTATCCTAGTTTTATTTTGTTTCTGTTTTAGAGAAAGAGACAGATAGAGTCAAGCGATTCCTCGAATGCAAAGGAGCATATAAAAGAAGAGCATATTAAGAGCAGGAGTTTGTCCGCTCATAGTTCCAACTCCGACCAGAAACGATTCAGACCATCATTGGAATCCAATTCTAATCACAGGTAAAAAGAATTCATTCCGACCTACGCTCTGACAAATATGACCTGAATTTGTTCACAAAATGTCATTCAAGAGCGTATCAACTAATTGCATTATCATGCAAGTTTATTAGGTTAAATATTACGAGCTCAAGGAGTTTTATCTATAATCTTAACCAAATTTATCACTCGAAGTCTAAAGCTGTCAAAACAAATCCTAGTTTATTTGTTAATCGCGGTTGGGCTTCGATTAGTGTACTCAAATTTGGTTCTGTTTCAGTCAAAGTCACCAACAAAATGCAACGACAAATGAGTCCACCAGAAAAGAGACTGAAAAGATTCACTTGAATGCACCGCATGCTCTACATGCAACGCAGCAAAATGCAGCAGGATTTAATAAACAAGCCAATCAGGGTAACTCGAAGCAGCTCGAAGATGTTGTAACTGTTGAACCTAATTTGATGACTGTGACGGGACAAAATGGACTCGAGTTTGAAAGTGTCAAGAGTGGAAAGCAACTTGTCTTTTCACATTGTACGCAATAGTTCTTCATCTTTCATTTTTTTAAAATCAAAGTTAATTGTAGTATGAAAAGGATGCATTGCTCTAATTTTTGTTGAGTGACAATGAAATTATCATTGATCAATATTTGAAATTCGTTAACCATGTGACGTAACTCAAAACCCTAATTAATGCCCCTTACCAATATTGACAAAGGCAACTAAGGTTGACTCATTATCTGAGCTTGAAAGTCTTCTCCTTGAGTTCAGATTTCAAGACAAGCAATAGAGGACAAACTGAAATATTGGCTTCATACATTACATATTTTGGCTCAATAACTTCGATTTATAATAATACAAGTTAACTTCTGCTTTTCGGTTCAATGAATTGTGAGGCTTGCATGTGAAGTTGAAAGTGGTGTGACTGAATAACCAAATTTTCATTGGTGGCTTTTAAATTATTGAGTATCAGCGTTTATTAAGTACCATAGCCAGGTTTGAAATTTGTATGGATGGTGTGTTTCAATGAATGGTCCTTGATGCCATTTGTTGCTACAAAACGACAGTACCGCTGGCGCCGTAGGACAAATTTTCGCGCAACAGCCGGCAGACAGTATTCCTGAGAGATCATCTCTGGAAATTTAATGCCTAAAGTTTACCGTGGATGTAAATTTAGTCTTAATGTTCTTAACCACGGCTGAAAGACCTGATTATAAATATATATTGATCAAAAATTTAGCTAATATTGAAAAAAAAAGAGTTCGATTGACGTAGCAAATAATTAATTATGCCTGCGCATGCAAACCTGATCTTTGATCCTTTTTGTTATGTTGATAATATATCTTTCAAAGGAAGATTCTTAAACGTTTTTTGAAAGTGACCACCAAAGAGCCGTATAAGAAGTTGCGTTCTGAAGATCTGGACTTAGACGTTTTTTCATTCAAGCGGAATGCAGTGTTTTCGAGGCTTCATTATATGATAATTGCTATAGATTATAATTGTATTGAACTGCTGTAATGATGAGTTTGGTTTGATTTCAGGTCTGGCCAACTGCAAATACTGCATCGAAGATCCGCTGAAGGACTTTGCCGAACTGAAGAGGTGAGCTTTTAACTGTCGCTCAAGTCAAGTGTGGGACGATAGCGTAAAATGAGCTCAAATCAAAATGCACAATAAATTGGAAAAATGGTTGTTTCTGGTGATCAGCAAATTGCTTGAACAGGCCAAAGAATCACATTTGTGAGGTTTCACTTAATGAAATACTTTAAATTTCTAATTTTCAAGTGAGATAAGCGCAGTGACGAGCAGAGACGAGTACTTTGTGATGCACGAGAAGTTCAAACAGGACTACTCGGTGGAGTTCCAGCCACTGAGACGGAAGGTGACAGAGACGAAGAAACTGTTCAAGCAGCTCAAGGACGACTTCGAGGCTGCTAAGGTGCAGTACTCTAAGCTGGCAGATGACGAAGCCAACAAGGCCCAGCTGGAACAGATGGCGAACAACGTCATCAAAGAACACGAGAGGCTCTTCTGTGTAAGTAATTGCAGCATTGAGGGTTTTTGAGACCTGAAAATAGAGTTAACAATAAATCACCTAAACCCAATCATAATTAAAATAGCTTTGAAGATCCATTCTAATTGTTTGCAAAGGAGAAGAGACGACTTTTGAAAATGTTTGAAACAACTGGGTTTATTTCGAAATCAATTATACATTAATATCAGCGTCATAAAAATTTAAACATTTTTTTGTTTGCAGCAAGAGGATTTTTTGAAGACAAACCACCGGTGCTGCCAACTGCACAACCAGCTGTCAGTAGTGCTATCTCGTCTGCAGGAATTCCGAAATCACGAGATTCACCGAATTACTCAGAAACATGTGGGTATGAAAGCCGCCGCCACGCACAAAATCACCGCTACAAACCCCAACGGGCAGTCGCCGAAACCACCTCCAACTTCAGGAGCCTCAGCTAACTTCTCAAACAGAGCTAACTTCGTGTTCAACAACGCTACTGCAGCAAACAATGCAAGCAACCCACGCGCCAAACAAACCATCAAAACATAGCCACCGTGTGCCTGGACCACAGCGCAAATAAGAAATAACGGACGCAATGGAATCACGATCTCACATGCAATTTCAGTCAATTTGAACAAAAATCATTTCACTGATAAATGATTCAATCTTTTCATGCGTTGACCTTGTACGCCTTCACCATTCTGAGATACGGTGCCTCTTCATATTGCCCGAAGATAGGAACTGATTATACTTAAATACACACTTGGGATACTTAATCAACTTGGGAAACTTCCCAGAAAAACTTTACAGAAAAGTAGACGAATCGCATCAAGAAAGGTGATTGCTCTCAATATCATCAACGGAAATCAATCAGGTGTTTCTGGTAATTGTGAGACCGCAAAGACTGCATGATGGACTTCCTTGACCTTTCAGAAAGAGGAGGTCAAGAACAAGGACTAGTGTTTTATTTTCTGGGTTGTTTGCTGATGCATTGCCTTGCTTCCTTTTTTCTCCCCGTGCTCCCATCAACTGTGCAATTCGCCAAATTCCTCCAAGCTTAATTCATTCCACAAGCTGAAGCAGAATCAATTCCCTAGAATGCAAATTAGTTCCTGACTTTGAAATATTTTGACTTACTTAACTTACTTTTAACCGAAAACTCGACTTCTTAGTGACGATTTAGTTTAATTCAATTATTATTAAAGCTCCATGTTTTATAACAACTCAAATTCTTTCCTATGCTCAACTCCAAAATCATCAAAATGAAAACGCTAAAAACGTAGAAACTGCAAAAAAAATAAGTGCTATTATTTACATAATAGATATTTATGGTCTTGAAGCAAATGCTCTCTTTAGTTATAAGTATTCAGTCATTGACTTGGGTGTGGGCTTATTCGGCAAAACTAGTTTTTGTTTAACGGTGCTATGTTAATTTCTTCTCTCCTCAGCGAGAAAAAAACGCTAAAAACAAAGAAAAATGCTATTGTGTTAGTGGCCTTGTTGCTAATGAATCAACAATGAATGATCAAATTATAACTGGTGTTGGGAAATCGCTTAAATATTTTGCATACGTTTGAGATCCTTTATATCGAATAGTGGTGTTGTTTAAAATTTGAATGCAATTTTAATTTTTGAAGTTTAACAATTTACCATCATGGTTCGACATGGTCTTTGAAGTAGAATGTTATTAGTTCCTGAATGTCGTGCGAAGAAAGTTATCGAAATGCCTGCCCTATAAATCAAACTATTTGAGATCATTCGTTTAATTTCAGACCGACCTTAACACCAACAATCTTGTGGAGATTCATCCAAAAGCGACGTCCAAAGTTCGCTGTGCCCTAGAATTTAAAGTGCGCAGCTTGCCATCATCAGGCTAAATGATTATAAACAGGAATGAAATAGTTGCAGTTATGTCAAATTATACATGTGAGCTTAGGCATGCGGTCTAACATGTGGTTTGGCGTTTGAAAAACACTATCACTAAGTACCTATTGCCGTCCATTATTTTCTCCCCCTCCCCCTTAACACCCAGTGCCGTCGTAAAATGTTAAATTAAACAAGTCTGCCTGCGTGGTTAAAGCTTTGCTAAATTTATTCAAATCATGCTCTCAAATGGCCTTTCAAAATCCATGCCTCCTTAATATGGATGTATGTACGCTAGCTAAATATTCAGCATTTGTTAAATTCGTGATACTTTTCGTTATTTACGTTTTCGTTCAAGTTAAGTTGCAAATATTATCGGATAAATTTCTCAACTATACTATGGTGCTACATACAACTCAATTAAAACATAAAGAAACTTAATTATTCTAACCCGTGCCGTTCAGAATACGATGGAAAATGATGTAAAAACGAGGGTACTACTAATACATGGTGATACTTGTGTGTAACTTAAACTCAGTTCATCATCGAGCGGTCATCATTATTAGCGGACCACAGATCGTCAAGTTAGCTGTGCTTAGTTGAAAAAAGGGGACGTTTTGATCTAAATTAATTTTGGATATTTTTGGTGTATCGAAATATGCTAGCTTTTTGGAGTGAAGTGTTTCCAGAATGAATTACGTCATTTTTCACAAAATTCTTTTCCCCAAGGATCTGAGGCTTGACACAGGAAACAAACAGAAATATTTAATGAGGCACTGAGAAAAGTTAGTGCTTAAGAAAAATTTCGCAATATTTTCGTTACTCTGATGGTGCGGTGTCATAAGAGGAGACCGAAATACGACGAAAGTAAAGCATGTTTTCTAGTAGGGCGAAAACAATTGAGTTAAAATAGTGAAATCAGACGAAAAGTGTTATACAAGCGTCGTTATACTTCGAATCTATTTTTTTAAACCCAAAATAGAATTCTTTTGCTGCATAGGTGTAGATTAGAGGGCGTTGCATTAATCTCTAGGTCGGTAGTTTGGTTGCGGGTAGAAGTTTTTTTTTCAAATCTTGTATTTATTTTTTTCGTCTTGAAAATTTTTTTGTTGCCTTTTTGTTGCTATTTTTTTGCCGTTTTCTCACTCGTTTTCACGAAGTGTCATGAAAGAAGTACTATTATTTAGGAGTATTGAAAATTTTTGATGCTCAAATTTGTAATTTGACGGGTTGACATTCGATTTTTTCCGATCACTGAAAATTGGGTGGATCTTTGTCTTCGTGTGTTTTTTTTTTAGTTTTTGAAATTTTTTCCACGCAACAGTCAGTGGCATAGTTGATTATATTGGGTCGAGCGATCTTTTAAATTAGACCGCTTCAGTCATAATTCGAGTTTCAAATTTTTCGGTGTCAAAAGAAAAATAGATTTGAAGTTTTTGATAGGTCTGATTTCGAGCGACTGAGCAACCATCTTACAATAGGACAATAAGCTCTACTTTAAGCCGTGAAAATTTAGCTTTAGTCCAATAAAACTAATTTTCGATGTTTCTTTTAGCGATTTTTTTGGAAATTTAAAATTTCAGTTTGTCGAAAGTCAGTTCGTCGAAAGTTCGTATCAGTAACTTCTAAACATGTCCAGATCTAGTTGTCCTTCCAGTTATACCGCGTCCCTTTCTGATTTCCTGGTGATGCTCTGGTACGGGGGGACGTAAACGCTCATTCTTCCCTCTGGATTTCTAATATCGAAGAAGATCAACGTGTATCCAAGAAGATCATCCAATGAAAATAATGAATCCGCTTTTGCGCCATTAAATGACGACACCCGAACAATGTTACCTTTTAATTCTGATGCACAACATTGCTTATCTGACATTTCCCTTGCATCGCAGTTCTTTTTACTTTCTGCATCCTGAACCCCCAATCGAATCCTTGGGCTACGATCACCTCCCCATACTTATCAAATTATCTCTCGATAACGACATACATTTTTCTCCGAATAAGACGTACATAAATTTCCTCAGGCCTGATTGGCGGCAATTTACTGAGGAGATTGAGGCGGATTTCCTCGTTTCCGGGAGTCCCTCTTCAATTCGCCCGGGGAGAATTTCATCATGGATCTGGTGCTCAGGGTAGCACGTCGCTACATCTCCGCGGAGCGTCACGGCCATTACACCACGTATATTTCTCCGTAGCCATATTCTCTTGTTGTTTAAAGAGACCGCGGCCGCCACAACAATCAGCCCATGAAAACACACAACACTCGTTACATATCTTCGTAACTTGACTCTTGACTCCCAATTCATGAATCAGACTGCGAAAGACAAGACAAGTAAATGGCGTGTATTCTTCGAGTTCTCTGATTACTGCACTGGTGTCAAAGTTCTGGAAAGTGGTACGCTCCCTAAACGGAATAAGGCCTATGGTAGGTTTGCACACCATTACAGTTGGCCTCAAAACTATAGCCTCAAATACTGATAAAGCAAAAAAATTAAATAAGCGTTTTACAAATGCTGGAAACCATGCCTCCGACAAATGATTCAGGAGAAGTAAACGAAAAATTGCCAAACTTTCTCTCTAATAGTCCAACTTTCTCCCCTCAACAAACTAAACAAGTCATTGCGGATAGCAAACCTTTACGAGGTCTCGGCCCAGATGGCCTTTGTAATGTTCACCTCTATCACCTCGGACATCTTGCATTTGATTCTGTAACTTAACTTTTTAACCTTTCGCTGTCTGATAATATTATCCGCCAAATGTGGAAAAACTCCAAGGTTATTTCTCTGCTCAAACCCGAAAAAGACCATAAAATTTCCATATCGTTCAGACTTTTAACACTATTCTGCTCGCTGTCAAAATTTTAGAGAGTATCATCCATCCCTTTTTAAGAAAGCATCTCCCAAATGCCACACACCAAGAGTTCCCACCATTTCACTCCACCCTCGATTTTTTTTTATCGCTGATGGCTTTAACCAGAATCGCCCTCCCTTAATTACTGTACATGCCACACGACCTATCAAATGCATTTGATATGGTGTGTCATAGAAAATTTTTGGAACCCATTCATGACGCACCGATGCCAAGAGGTATAGTTTGCTGGCTGAGCAACTACATACTTTTAATAGCCAAGTATTCCCGCTCAGAATTGTTCACTGTAGTGTTCTCCAGGGCTCTGTTTTTATCACCGACTCTTTTTATTTTTAACGTCCATTACGCCCTTCCCACCCGGCCGAAAAATTTCGCCCCACCGCATACGCTTATGATTTCCACCCCTTCGCCCAAAGCCCCGACGTTGAGGCAGCATCGTGCTCACCAAATGGTTATCTGCACCGCTTTTCAAATTTTTCCACCCCTGTAAGCTAGCATTCCTGTCCTCTACAGGGTCAGTTACCTTGATTTCGTTCCATAAGCTGGCATTTCTGTCCTCTAAAGGATCAGTTACCTTGATTTTGTCACCGACTCTTTTCAATTTGTACGTCCATGACACCCCTTCGCTCACCTCCCCCCCGAAAACGTTCGTTTCACCGCAAACGCTTATGATTTCCACCCTTTTGCTCAAAGCCCCGATGTTAAGGCAGCATTGTACTCGCTAAATGGTTATCTGCACCGTCTCTTCAATTTTTCACCTCCTGTAAGCTAGCCTGCCCGTCATCTAAAGGATCAGTTATCTTGCTTTCGTCATACAACAAAGATTTTAACAAAACTCCAACTCTATTTTTAAACAACGAGCCTTGACCCAACCCTATGCTGTACAGCTCACTGAAAGATATCTGCTGACAAGTCTAGTCGTAGGATAGAAGTCCTGGAGTCATTTTTCGCTGGGGGTCAGTTTAAAGAAACCCTGCTTTTAAGTTATAAAGCCTCAATTCGTCCTTTTTAAGATAATGCCTGGATGCACGCCGCCAGCAAGACTTCTTTTAACACCTGCAGGCCATCAAAGTCAAGCCCTCACTTTTATGAGCTCCTCTGCCCACCTCAGTGGAATCGAAATCCTGAACGCTCCAAATCTCCACATACCGTTCACATCACCCAAATCATTTTCTCACCCTCATTCCCACCCTCACGTCAAATTCGACTATCCATTTTACATGCTTTCAAAGACGACACAGACTCCCTTATAACCGAACAAAGACCGTCACTAAATTTTAACTACTAAGAAGACGTTTCGACTTCCGTTTTTAACTAACACAAGGCCCTTTTTAAACAAAACCCTACAAACATCGGAACCAACTTCTTGGCAGAATCACCTTTTAAAGTCATTTGTATTCCTCCTCCAAGCATCGCCCCTCTGAACAGTCCCAAAATGACCCGCTGTAAGCTTTCCCAATTCCGGTATGGTTACAGTCGGTTTTTAAACACTTAACTCGCCCACTTAGATAACTAAGTTTCCTCACTTTGCCCTAACTGTCAATTGTCACTCCGCACTAGTTGCCATTTATGTAGCTGTCCCAGAACTATTCGTCTTTTTCTTCCGCAGACCTGTGGTTAGGGTAAGTAGAAGTAGTGAAGTTCCTTAGCCTGGAGACAGACGAGCAAACCCGCCCAACATGGGCTAAAGAAAGAAAGAAACGGCTTCGTGCCCTGACTAAGTCGTTTAGAAAATTGGTTCTAGGTCGGGAGGCTTGAGTTCGAAACTTTTAGCACCCGTATTTTCATCTCAAGTTGGTGTTGCAAGATTTTTTCGTCCTTTGTTTTTGTTGTTTTAGAGCTCCTTTTTGCTCTCCTTTGCTTTTGTTTTAAAAAAGAAAGATTTAAAAACTGAACAGAGAACTATTATTGCTAGTTTTTCCATAGGTATCATGTTTTTCGTAGCTTTTGCGAATCTTATTTTGAATGTTAATTGCTGTGATATTGGGATGATATAATTGCAGTTTCGTTTTTTTAAGCTTGTTTTGTTATCTTATAACATTTGTTGTCTAATTTTTTAACCTCCGTTTTGTTAAATTTAGAAAATCAAAACAAAAAGCATTGTTTCTCACGATTTCTGTCTGTTTTTAAAAAGTTGAAGGTCAAGTCAATGTATTTTTCTTCGACCAGCTCTTAAAGGAATTGTAGAACTTTTTTCACGCAAAATCAGAAAGCCGAATATCCCTGTAGTTTTCCTTTTTAAAAAAAATCATTGTGGAAGAAACACTATTTTTGGGCTTTAAGGCCGTTAATATCAGCTATTATTTTCTGAATAGAAGATTTTTGAGTGTATTTTTTGAATCTGTTTCAAGAGAAAATTGGTCAAAGAGTCAAAACAGGCTAAAATTTTGATAGAAAATTTACAAAACCAAAATAATTTTTGAACGTTTTTTTTTGTGTTGGACCTAGTTTTCTGATATTTTTATGAATTATCGGATTTTGTAAAATAAAAAGCTGTTTTCGTTGCTGAAAGAGCTATTGATGCAATTTTTTTTCTCTTTTTTTCATGCTCTACAATAAAACGTCAGGTTTACATGTAATAGTGAATACTCGTTATAGGTCTTGGTGATTTTTGTTCCGATCATACTTTTTTCCACGCAAAATCAGTTACCACACATAATCATTGGAATGGGTCGAGTGATATATCTTATTAAAGCCTTTTCAGTCGTGATTTTAACGACATTAAAAAATTTTGAACAAATTATCTCTGTGTCGAGAAAAAACCAGTCTAATATTTTTGATTGTTGGTTTAATTGCAAGCTAATAAAGTGGGTGTGCAGTTTTTCAATAGCTGATTTATGCTTAATTAAAGCCGTGAAAAGCTAGTTTTTTTCGAGTAAAGTTAGTTTTTCAGTGACAATTTTTTTGAAAAAAATTACAATTTTTTTTTTTCGTTTTTCTCTATAAAAACTGTATTCCACTCGGCCTATTTTACTATGACTGTCAAATATGTCTATGTTTAATTTTTTCGTCCAGACCTTTTGATCACACTATGCAAAAAATACGAAACTAATTTGATGAAGTTTTGCACAGTAACAGGCTATCCTTGTTTTTTTCAGGAAAAAAAAATTTATTTTCTGTTGGCTATGCTTGATAACTTCCCTTATGCATAACATCCACTTCCCAACACCTAAATTAGTCTGAGAAGTTGCTGATCAGTTGTTTGTTCTACTGGAAGCCTTTCGTCTAAATATCTAATCGAAATCGTAATATGGACTAAAAGGCCCTAAATATGATTACGCGTGGACTCCGTAAGAGCCTTTTTTTGAAGTGCCCAAATTATCCCTTGAGAAAATCACTGATTAAAGAACATACTTCAAACCATGTGTTGTCAGGGCTCCTAAACAGTTTGCCCACATCCGTATCCCTTCGTAAACCTGAGTCTTAAATTGTCCTATACGTTGATGATACGGCTATTTGCTTTTCAAAAAGTGGTTGAAATTGTTCGCTTCTTGACACTGACAAGTTCAGGGATTATTTTAAAAAGAAAATGTGATATAGATATGCAGATAGGAAGTCGTAGCTCAGTAGAAGTCAATGAGGGGTCTGTAACAAAGCCGTTGTCGGAATATAAATGGAACACAAATGAAGTACTTCATCTCTGCACTTTTTCCTCAATCTGAGGAATATAATAACGGCTAAAAATAAATGTTTTTAGGTGGAAAATGAGCACTGCCATTGAAATGAACAACCACGAATTGGAGGATAGCTCTAACAATTGGAGCAAAAAATCAGCTGCCGTGAATCTTCAAGACGCCCGAATATCCAAACTGGTCCGACATATTCAGTCGTTGTTCGTAGAAAAAGACATTTTAAGTACCGACCAACGGGTATCAAGTTTAAACGAAATCAAAACATACTTGAATAATGTTTCCTCTAATTCGCTCTCAGTGGGAGCTCCAGTAATTACAAACTTCCTCAAAAATTGGATCAAACACTTTCATAAAGTTGATCGAAATCCTAATTTACGAGGAAAACGAGGTGAGTTGGAAATCTTGGTGCTTATCATTCAAAACTTTCCGTCTTTTATTCCCTCACATAGGAATAATTTATTGAAAATATTTCTATGCGAGTTGTCTTTCCTGTCTGATTTAAAACTGGCCAATTACCGAAGCTTCTTAATTGAGTTATTTGCCCAAACTGCAGTGGCCGGAAAATGGTCCTCGCAAGCCAGCGATACGTTCAAATTGCACTATCAGTGTACAATTGAAATGCTGATTAACTCAATTTATTTCTTGGCCTATAAGTACGAGTTTTACAATAAATCAGAAGAATTTGCCGAAAGTTTGAGCGCAAACGGAGAGCCAAAGTTTATTGAAACGAAACAACAGCTTTTGAAATTGAGTGAATGTTGTCCAAAAAGTTTTGTTTTGGTTCTGATGCGGATATTGAAACGTTTAATCTCCATTGAGATAGTCCACGTAGCAAATTTTCCAGTCAAGTCTTTCGTTAACCTGTGTGTAAAAATCTTACAAGACGTAAAATCGAATGTGTTTGAAGCTGAGAAATTATCCGAGTTTCTGCTAAGTTTGAAAATTGAGTGCATGGATTTGATCAAGTTGGTGTGCTGCAGATTTGGGTCTGTTTGTGTTGTTTTTATCCATCCAATCATGAGCTGTTTGATGTGCTATTTGAAGAAGAGTGCTGGAGTACTGAGTCGAATGGACGAAAACTGTTTGGCAGAAAATTCAGCCAAATGCTACTCGAAGGTTTTCGAACTGGCTGAATGTGTCATTACGTAAGTGTCTTAAAAATGTACTAATTTTTTTCTGCTGTGTCTATACCATTAGCTTTTAATAAAGCTAATCTATTGGTTTTATTTGACGTTAATCGCAAACAGAGCAGCATATGTCTAAATGAATTGACAATATGGAGTTGATTCTCCTCCAACGTGAAGAAAAACTTGCGATTAATTGAATTTCACCATTTTTTGTGTTTCATTTTTCATGCTGCTTCTGAAAACGCTGCTACACAACCAAGAAAGTGAGTCCCTTGATGATCTTTGCTTGAAAGAAGCTCGAAACTACAATGTCATGATTTCAAAAATGCATGGAGTTAAGAAAATCAGTGTGGCGAATTTTTATCCTGGGATTCAGAAAAAATGTAGGTTTTATTGCGAAGTTGGTTTGTTTCAGTAACATGACTAAGTATGGATTTGACTGCGACGAACTCGGAAAAGTGTTGGTTTCAATTACATCATCATTGCACAGATTTGCAACTCACGAGAAGCAAACAAGTTCGGCTCTGGAAGACCCTGTGAAGGAAAGTGCAACGCAGAGCTCGGCAAAGAAAACCAGTCGAAAGAGAAAACGTGATAGACATGTGAAAAGTGAGCAAACTGGAAAAGATTGTCCCGAGTCAAAAATAAATACTACCAACAAAACGCTAGAAATTAAGTTCATAATTTCGGTCTGTGAATTCTCGGCGTGCTTGTTCAAAAATTGTTCGCATTTGTTTTCAAGCGAAGTTATTCATAAGTCTATGTTGAATATTGTTTCCCTTTCGATCACAATTTTTTCCTCTTTCGGCAACGAGTTTACGGTTTCAACTGCAGAATACCCGAATGTTAAGTTGTTCAAAAAGGAGGATGTATCACTTGCTATGTTGACAGTCATTGAAGGTTTGATCTGTCGGCCGAATCCGAAGTGTTCTCCACCTGTAGCGATTCTGGCAGAGGTCGTTAAATTGGCAGCAAACAATGAACGAAAAACATTATCTTGTAAAGCGAAAAATATTCAAGTTCTGATTGAAATCGTGACCAAACCTAATTTGACGCAAGTGTTTTCTTCTATTGAAATGCAGTACGAGCCCAAAACAGAATTTGAAAACCAATTGGTTCAAACAGAAAATCAAGTTAAATTGGTCAGTGTGTATGTGCAAACGAATCAACTAGCCGAAAATGCAACAGGTGAATTCAAAGCCGAAAAGTACAATCCACCAGTGAAGAGGAAAAGTAGAAACTGTTTTGTCCAAACTGACGAGAAAATGTTTGCGAAACTTAAAAAAGTTGGAAATAAATCTGACGTTGTGAAGCGCAAAACTGGAGCATCGGTTAAATTACAAGGCGAAGATGAGAATAACTTTGTTGAAATTTGCGAGCAGTTTGTTCCTGATATAATATGAAATATAAATATCAGATAATCTCTGTTTTTAAGAAGGTAAAAACGTCGGACACGATTTGGATGGTAAATATCATTTTGCGAATTCAATTCAAATAAAAATTTGGGGATTGGAAGGTTTACGGAATACCGTTCACCTTTCCCACCCCATCAGCCATTCCAGTCGATTCTTATCAAATCGAAATTAAAGTCATAATTTGCACATGTGGCGCAGAGGTAACGCACATGCATGCACGACAAAGAACCATGGTTTGAACCATCGTGATTTATTTTTTTTCGAACTTTTTTCTGCTCATTTGCCACAGCAAACAATTTGCCTATGATTTAAAAGTTTTGCTTTAATATTGAAAATCCTGACAGTGTTTTCCGCTTATGTGCAACTTATTGCATTCCCAAAAATTTTTGCTGAAATGTTTTATTTTGCCTTCGCATTATTTTTTTTAATTCAGAGCCATGCAAAAAATAGCTTTAAAATTTTTTCGAACTATCATAATATATATGCCAACACTACTGCGGAAAAAGTTTTCCGATATTCCTCCTCATTCACAAATGTTTGTTCACCTGGTTTGATTTTGTTAAGTGAGCTTCTATGAAGTACAAGGATAGAAATTGGCTAGGTCTTGCCTTTTTTGTAATACTTAAATCTATCTATCTATCTATTATTTAATTGGCGTTTCACGTGACACATGTTTAAGAAGTCCCTATGTTGATGTGTTTAAGGAGTCCCTATTTTTGCATGTTTAAGTTTTTTCAACGTATTATTTTTTGCATATTTAACGAAAATATTTTTGCACGTTTAAGCTATACCGTAGGTTAAAATGTTTAAGAAATTTCATTTGGCTCATGTTTAAGTCTGTTGGTCTGTTTAAAAGCCGAAAAATTGCAAGATTTGAAAATTTTATATATACATACGTTCTATACATTTCTATATAGTGTGGTGCTGTTAAGTACCTTCAGGGGTTGCAAATCTGGCGTCCAAGTATGACTGCTCAAATCCTTTTATTTTTCGAGATATGGCGTTTTTATGTTTGTTTTAGTTTTTTTTTCAAAAAACTTATATTAAAAAACTAACCGAACTTCCTTTTCTCAACCCTATAGTGAGGTGCTGTCAGGGTTCATTCGGGAGTTGCAAATCTGGCGTCCAAGTATGACTGCTAAAATCTTTTTAGTTTTCGAGAAATTGCGTTTTTTATGATTTTTTCTTTTTTCAAAAAACTTAGATATAAAAAAAATAAAGCGAACATCAACTTCTCAACCCTATAGTGGGGTCCTATCATGGTACATTCAGAGGTTGCAAATCTGGAGTCCAACTATGACTGTTCAAATCCTTTTGTTGTTCGAGATATGGCGTTTTTTATGATTTTTTCATATTTTTTTTCAAAAAAATTTAGATTTAAAAAAAATTAGATACAAATTAACCGAGCTTGAATTTCTCAACCCTATAGTGGGGTGCTGTCAGGGTATATTCAGGAGATGCAAATCTGGCGTTCAAGTGTGACTGCTCAAATTCTTTTGGTTTTCTGCGTTTTTTGTGATTTTTAAAATTTTTTTTTCAAAAATCTTAGATATAAAAAAAATTTAGCGAACATCAATTTGTCAACCCTATAGTGGGGTGCTGTCAGAGTAAAATCAGAGGTTGCAAATCTGGAATCCAATTATGACTGCTCAAATCCTTTTGCTTTTCGAGATATGGCGTTTTTTATATTTTTTCATAATTTTAAGAAAAAAAAATTTAGATATTAAAAAAAACTTGGATAGAAAAAACTAGAACTTCAATTTCTCAACCCTATAGTAGGGTGCTGTCAGGGTATATTCAGTACTTCCAAATCTGGCGTTCATTTGTGACTGCTCAAATTCTTTTGGTTTTCAAGAAATTGCGTTTTTTGTGATTTTTTAGTTTTTTTTTCCAAAAAACTTAGATGTTAAAAAACTAACCGAACTTGATTTTCTCAACCCTATAGAAGGGTGCTATCAGGATACATTCAGGGTCTGCAAATCTGGCGTCCAAGTATCACTGCTCAAATCCATTTGGTTTTGAGAAATTGCGTTTTTTATGATTTTTTTATTTGTTTTTTCAAAAAAAAATTAGATGTAGAAAAAATTAACTGAACTTCAATTTCTCAACCCCATAGTGGGGTGTTTTCTGGGTACCTTTGGGGGTTGCAAATCTGGAGTCCAAGTATGACTGCTCAAATTCTTTTGGTTTTCGAGAAATGGCGTTTTTTATGATTTTTTCTTGTTTTTTTTTTCAAAAGAATTTAGATATAAAAACTGACCGAACTTGATTTTCTCAATCTTATAGTGGGTTGCTGCCAGGGTACATTCAGGAGTTGCAAATCTGGAGTCCAAGTATGACTGCTCAAATCTTTTTGGTTTTCGAGATATGGCGTTTTTTATGATTTTTTAATGTTTTTTTTTGCAAAAAAATTAAGATATAAAAACTGACCGAACTTGATTTTCTCAACCTTATAGTGGGTTGCTGCCAGGGTACATTCAGGCGTTGCAATTTTGGAGTCCAAGTATGACTGCTCAAATCTTTTTGGTTTTCGAGATATGGCGTTTTTTATGATTTTTTTCTTTTTTTTTTCAAAAAAACTTAGATATATAAAATCAGCCATTCCAGTCGGTTCTTATCAAATCGAAATTAAAGTCATAATTTGCACATGTGGCGCAGAGGTAACGCACATGCATGCACGACAAAGAACCATGGTTTGAACCATCGTGATTTAATTTTTTTTTCGAACTTTTTTCCTGCTTATTTGCCATAGCAAACAATTTGCCTATGGTTTAAAAGTTTTGCTTTAATATTGAAAATCCTGACAATTTTTTCCGCTTCTGTGCAACTTATTGCATTCCCAAAAAATTTTGCTGAAATGTTTTATTTTGCCTTTGCTTTATTTTTTAATTCAGAGCCATGCAAAAAATAGCTTTAAAATTTTTTCTAACTATCGTAATATATATGCCAACACTACTGCGGAAAAAGTTTTCCGATATTCCTCCTCATTCACAAATGTTTGTTCACCTGGTTTGATTTTGTTAAGTGAGCTTCTATGAAGTACAAGGATAGAAATTGGCTAGGTCTTGCCTTTTTTGTAATACTTAAATCTATCTATCTATCTATCTATCTATTATTTAATTGGCGTTTCACGTGACACATGTTTAAGAAGTCCCTATGTTGACGTGTTTAAGGAGTGCCTATTTTTGCATGTTTAGGTTTTTTCATTGTATTGTTTTTTGCATATTTAACGAAAATATTTTTGCACGTTTAAGCTATACCGTAGGTTAAAATGTTGAAGAAATTTCATTTGGCTCATGTTTAAGTCTGTTGGTCTGTTAAAAAGCCGAAAAATTGCAAGATTTGAAAATTTTATATATACATACGTTCTATACATTTCTATATAGTGTGGTGCTGTTAAGTACTTTTAGGGGTTGCAAATCTGGCGTTCAAGTATGACAGCTCAAATTCTTTTGGTTTTCGAGAAATGGCGTTTTTTATGATTTTTTCTTGTTTTTTTTTTTCAAAAAAATTTAGATATAAAAACTGACCGAACTTGATTTTCTCAATCTTATAGTGGGTTGCTGCCAGGGTACATTCAGGGGTTGCAAATCTGGCGTCCAAGTATGACTGCTAAAATCTTTTTAGTTTTCGAGCAATTGCGTTTTTTATGATTTTTTCTTTTTTCAAAAAACTTAGATATAAAAAAAATTAAGCGAACATCAATTTCTCAACCCTATAGTGGGGTCCTCTCATAGTACATTCAGAGGTTGCAAATCTGGAGTCCAACTATGACTGCTCAAATCCTTTTGTTTTTCGAGATATGGCGTTTTTATGATTTTTTCATGTTTTTTTTTTTTCAAAAAAATTTAGATTTAAAAAATTTAGATACAAATTAACCGAGCTTGAATTTCTCAACCCTATAGTGGGGTGCTGTCAGGGTATATTCAGGAGATGCAAATCTGGCGTTCAAGTGTGACTGCTCAAATTCTTTTGGTTTTCGAGAAATTGCGTTTTTTGTGTTTTTTTAAATTTTTTTTTCAAAAATCTTACATATAAACAAAATTAAGCGAACATCAATTTCTCAACCCTATAGTGGGGTGCTGTCAGAGTGAAATCAGAGGTTGCAAATCTGGAGTCCAATTAAACTGCTCAAATCTTTTTGCTTTTCGAGATTTTAATATTTTTTCATAATTTTAAGAAAAAAAAATTTAGATGTAAAAAAAACTTGGATACAAAAAACTAGAACTTCAATTTCTCAACCCTATAGTGGGGTGCTGTCAGGGTACATTCAGTTTTTGCAAATTTGGCGTTCAATTGTGATTGCTCAAAATCTTTTGGTTTTCGAGAAATTGCGTTTTTTGTGATTTTTTAGTTTTTTTTTCCAAAAAACTTAGATAGTAAAAAACTAACCGAACTTGATTTTCCCAACCCTATAGAAGGGTGCTATCAGGATACATTCAGGGTCTGCAAATCTGGCGTCCAAGTATCACTGCTCAAATCCATTTGGTTTTGAGAAATTGCGTTTTTTATGATTTTTTTATTTGTTTTTTCAAAAAAAAATTAGATGTAGAAAAAATTAACTGAACTTCAATTTCTCAACCCCATAGTGGGGTGTTTTCTGGGTACCTTTGGGGGTTGCAAATCTGGCGTCCAAGTATTATTGCTCAAATCTATTTGGTTTTTGAGAAATTGCGTTTTTTATGATTTTTTCATTTGTTTTTTCAAAAAAAATTAGATGTAAAAAAAATTAACTGAACTTCAATTTCTCAAACCCATAATGGGGTGTTTTCAGGGTACCTTTGGGGGTTGCAAATCTGGAGTCCAAGTATGACTGCTCAATTTCTTTTTGGTTTTCGAGAAATGGCGTTTTTTATGATTTTTTTCATGTTTTTTCTTCAAAAAAACAGATATTAAAAAACTAAACGAACTTGAATTTCTCAACCTTGTAGTGGGTTGCTGTCAGGGTGCAGTCACGGGTTGCAAATCTGGAGTCCAAGTATGACTGCTCAAATTCTTTTGGTTTT